CGAGCAGCTGCTGACACTTCTTGAAGGCCTCTTTTTCAAGAAGGTGAAACAGAGGTCAAGGCCGGGGGATCCTGTTTATCTCTGGGCTGGTATTCGGATGTGTTTTCTGTCCTGCAGGAAATGCAGCCCAAACTTCAGAGCGGAAGGAGACAGTGTGACTTGCACTGTCTCCTACGTAGGTGCCGGGAAAGCTCCAAGCGCGCCAGCCCACCGCCTATTCAGGATAAGACAATTAGGCACAATTTAGGCAATAATTACCCTAATTAATGACACTAAATGTTTGTATTCAAGATTATGGCAACATTGTATCAGTTCACTATTTCAATAATAACAAGGTTTCCTAATTTCTCAGTATTGATAGTTGTTGGCTGTGACTCTTTGTTTGGTATATTTCACTGTAAAAATATTTGTCAGTGAGAGATTGAACAATATGAATGAATTTGATTATGCCATTGTCAAAAGCCCCATGCATCACAATTCCTTGTTTTTAATCACTACTGTAAACCTTGCAGCCGGAGGGCATAGTTTTAATTTGGGTGTCTTACTAATGAAAAGAAAAAAATAATTGTTTTGCCAGGATTTAATAATAAGCAATAAAATCAGCCAACCAGATTTTACCTCCGCATTCAATCTCTTTTTTATTATAAAACATTTTTGTCCTTTTTTTTTTTTTAGATTACAGGCGTAGATACTGAACATTTTACTAATAAATATTTCAGTTTGCTTATGGAGGCTAATGCTGTCATCTGAATATGGAATTATATTTCTTTCATGCTTCATTATCATTTCATGGTAGTAATGACAGTGAGGCGATGGAATATTTACAGGCTTTTCAGAAGACATTTATCCAATACAGTCCCTGAAGGGCACCTAGGCTTAAAGATACATTATCCTTTTGGAAAGCTCAGCCCAGAATCCCAATTCCTGAATCAGCCAATCAAAACTTTTTTTTTCTCCCTTCAACCCTGATCAAACTTCCATCTCTTCAATTCTCAAGAGTGGATCATTCATCCTCGGAAGTGCCGGGGACAGAAAAAGGGCAAAATGGAATCACAACCTCTGTGGCCACAGTCTATGAAATGGGCATGGACGTTTTGCCTTTACTGCTGCTCGGGCCTCCGCTTCTGCTTGGAACGTATTCTAGCTGATTCCCAGGACTCAGGGGTTGTTCGTTTTATTGAGTGGTGCTGCTATGGGGGTTACAAATGGTCAGTCAGCTGCACATCTTTAGAGACTTACAGAGGAGCCCTGGTGGTGTAGTGGGTTATACACGGGGCTGCTAACTGCAACGTCAGTAGTTCGAAATCACCAGTGGTTCTCTGGGAGAACGATGAGGCTTTTTACGCCTGTAAAGAGTATGCCTCAGAAACCCACAGGAACAGGTCTACCCTGACCGATAGCCTCAGTGCGCATCGGACTCCACTTGAGGGCAGTGGGTTTGGCTTTGTCTAGAGCAGCTGGCCTCTGGTTTTGGCAAGAAGGAGTCCATGGGTACAGGTTTGCTGAAAGCTGGAAGGACAGCATGGAGAAAATGCATGTGGGGAGGGAGGGAGGGCGCTGCTGGCATGTCCCTGCGGGGTCTTGGGGGCTCAGGCAGGACCTTCCGGGGGCAGCTGTGGAGGCAGAGGAAGGCAGTGGGGGGAGGGGTTGCAAGGGAGTTGTCTCTGGGGGCAAGTGTTCTTTGGCTCTTGCCCATCAGACACAGCCCCAGTGCAGGTTCTGGTCTGTTAAAAGAAGCTGGAAATCTGGCTGTTCTTGTGAAATGAAAGCCTTTTAAAGATTGGCAATAAATTCAAGTATCTAAAAACTGCTGTTGTGTGCCAGATAAGACTGGTGCCTGCATGTGCTCAGCTGAGTTCCCTTTTGACCTGTGGCCTAGAGGGTGCCAACAGGTCATATGTATTGTGTGCTCTGGACACCCCATGATGAAGGCAGGTGTGTGTTGGGGCACCTGCAGGTGTTTATTCAGCTTTGAATACCAGACCCTGCTGCCTGGGTTGCCGGCTGCATCAGGCTGGGCAGTGAAGCCCCATGTTTGCCTTCATCCACTTGGCAAGAGGCGATGCCAGGTGGTCAGTCTCTCATTTCTGGTTCATGGTGCTCATTCCTTTAACGTGACCATCATGCGTTGGAGAGGCTACTCTGATAAGACTTTTCTGGCCTTTAAAAATTCTCATTGTGGTAGGAACTGTCGCAGTGCTGTGGCAGTTACATAATCTCCTGTCAACTTGCGAAGAGGTGAGTCTAGTCTGTCAATCAAGTCATCGCCAATGAGGCCTCTGTGTGGGCCTGGCCTTCTCCTGAGGATTCTGGGCACTCCTGTCTTTTTCTCTGGAGGTGGGACACAGACTCTCTGAGTGTGCTTCGTCTCCCTGTGAGACATTCCTGTAGACAAGCACATGGAGCTATGCTGATGGCAGCCAGAGCCCTGGCACTGGAGGAGCCATGTAGGACCCAAGCCAGGGCTGAGATGCTTCCACCACCACTGGGTCCATAAGACTTTCCACCCACTGGCCTGTGATCTTCCTGCACTCAGTGTTGCTCCATGTGTTGCGTGAGTTTGAAGAGGAATTTACCAACTGGTATCGGACATATGTGCTAATAACGATTTTATGAACTTGATCTGGACTGGGCTGGGATGTTTTCTTAATATACAATTACTCTTTGACATAAAGTTCTCTATTACACACATAAAAGTGTCTCGATTTGTTTCTCTAGTCAACGAAGACTAATACACGTGCTTAACGCATTTGCATGCCCTCTCTTCAGCTCAGCTCTATTTGGATTTCATGATCTTTGGGCCGAAAGGACATTCTAGAAGATTCCTGGACTTTCCGACAAAGGCACCTTTCAAATTATTCCCTAACGGGGCAGCCTGTTGCTGTAGGGGGTCCTGCTTGCTCCTCCTACCTGTGGGGTTGACACTCTCTGCGTGTTGGGCAACCCTCCCCACCCCCACCCCATGCAGGCGTTTGCAGGGGAAATCTCTGGCGCTTGCAGCCCCGGGCTGTGGTTCCAGGGTAGACAGCAGAGAAATTGCTCCACTGGCAAAGGTATTCTGTAGCAGAGAAATCTTGGCTACTTGTTCCTGCATCACTGTCCTGTGGAGGGACCTGCCCAAAGGGGACTAAGCCAGGTGCACGGTGACTCATATGTTGCAACCCACTGGGGGCCAGAGCTGAGTTACCTCAGCCACTCTGCAGCCACACGTGTGCCACGTGATGATGGAACCACCGTTGAGGATGGCAGATGGAACTTGCAGTCCAGTGCTGGCGTGCTGGTGTCTCAGCAGGAAAGAGTGAGACCCCCCAGCTTTTCTCCAGGAGAATGAGGGCAGCAGCTTCCTCAGGCTCGGCCTTCTGTAGGCATTTCTATATTTAGGTCTCCATATGATTAAGAAGCAACCAGACTTGGAATTTTCTGGTCTACGTGAGAAGATGAGTCAGGCTGGCCATCATTGATTTGAACATGAAAGCAGTGTGCACGTGTGCCCTGCATCCCTCAGCGGCCCCGAGCTGCATTAAAGCTGTCATGGGACTGCGGCCAGGCCAGGTAGGTGAGCCGGACCTCCAAACCTCCATCCTCTTCTGGAAAAAGCCTGGCCAGACCTGCGGTGGAAGTCTGCATTCTGGAGCAGGGAGAGATTACCTGAAGACGTGTGGCAAGGAGAATTTCCAGGGCTTTGGTGCGTGTGGGGCTGTCTTGGTATCCCCTGGTCTCCTGAGAGCCCCTCCTATTTAGGCGCACAGGTGCAGCATTCCAGAATCCAGCAATGAGGGCATGCCACCTACTCAGGCACCATGGCCCACATTTTTCTCCAAGGCTTGGTCTCTGGGGCCAGGAGGCAGCAGGCTGCTTGTGGAGAGGCCTGAGGAAGGGGCGAGGGAGCTCTCTCTGGGTCCGTCTCAAGTCTGGTTCTTGTCTGCACAGTTTCACAAAGACATTCTGAATAGGGTCTTCAGAGGAAACACTGGATGGCTGGATACATTTGAATTTCAGATAATGAATACTTTTGTTCTGTGTGCAAATATGTCCCAAATATGCACAGGACACAGTCATACTTATACTAAAAAAATATTCATTGTTTATCTGAAATTCAAATGTAAGCGGGCAGCCTGTCTTTCTATTTGCTAAACGGAGCAATCCCAGCCCTGGGATTCTGCGGGTTGGAGACACGGGAGCTTGACTCCCCCAGATTGCTTGACTGGAGGAAACAGGCGCAACACGCTTGGCATCATTTGAGACGGTCTCTTTAGAAATTGTATGGACACGATGGCGAAATTTTGATGGGTTTGCCACCCATGCTTCAGCTGGCCCGTTTTTCTCATCCAAGACCTCTGTGGACCGTGTATGAGCTGGGGGAAGTTGTGCTCCGTTCACTACACATCTCACAGAACGAAAGACAGTGCCCTGTGGAATGGCTGCACCAGCGACTCCCACCCCAGCCCGTCCTGGCACTGGCAAAGTTCACACCGACACTGGGTCTGCTCACCGACTACCCAGCTAGGACTCCTGCCTCTGCCCAGCCTTCTGAGGTCTGCTCTCTGTTTCCAGAGGGCCTGGCTGGCCTGAGAAGGTGACAGCTCGGCTTCCTAGCAGGAACACGGTGTCCTCCCTCCCCAGGTCCGGTACCCTCTCGCAACACAGCCTGAGACACAGGGAAAGGTCTAGAAGGTTGTGTACTAGGGTTTTCACCTTAACTACCTCTGGCAAATGAGACTGAGTGGGCGGAGGCACGCTGACCTGCAATGTTTTGTATCCTTTGACCTTGTTTAAAGGAGCTGTGGGGTTGTAGCAAATTACAAGTTGGCCTGTCAACCACAAGGCCAGCAGTTCGAAACCACCAGCAGCGACATGGGAGAAAGAGGAGGCTTTCTCCTCCCATCAAGAGCTGCTTGGGTGCCATTGGGTCAGGTCTGATTCACAGCACCCCGATGTGCAACAGAAAAGTGAAGAGTTTCAGTCTCAGAAACCTGCAGGGGCAGCCTTACCCTGTCCTTTTGCTCGCTTCAGCAGCACCTATGTTAAAATTGGAGCGATACAGAGAAGGTTAGCATGGCCCTGGTGCAAGGATGCCCCTGTCCTACAGTGGATTTCAATTCACTGCCATTGAGTTGAGGCCGACTCCCATGTGACCCTACAGCACAGGGTAGAACTGCCCCTGTGGGTTTCTGAGACTGTAAATCTCTACGGGAGTAGAAAGCCTCCTCTTTGTCTCGAGGAAGGAGTGGCTGGTGGTTTGAAATTGCAACCTGGTGGTTAGCAGCACATCTCATAAGCAGGACAGCAGCGGGGCCCCTTTGTTTGAACTGGTGGCCTCAAAGACTGGTGTTTTTAGAACAAAAGCACCAACAATAATAAAGAGGAAAGAAAGTATGTGGGCCTCTTGGGACGCTTTTGCCCAATGGTTGAGGTAGAAGTCAAGGAAGGGCACTCTGGGCAATCGCAAGACAGCTCCACACTTGACTGGTGTCTGCTTGGGCTGCGCAGACATCACGTCGAGGCCACACCCCCATGGTCAGGGCACAGTGTGGGGCGCATACTTCTTCAGGAGCATTTGAACACGTTACACCTGGTTCCCAAAGCCAATTGTCCTTGGGTAGAGTTCAACTCCTGGAGACTCCATCTGAGTTAGTTTATTGTGCCAACCTGGCTGATAAACACAGGTGGGGTTAATTGAAGGGTGGAGAGATAAATGGCTCAGTGAGCCTCGCCTTTCTAGTTCTCGGGTCTCTTGCTTTCTGATGGTTGGACCAGGGTGAAGCTGCCTTAGCCAGTTCCCTGCTTTAGCTAGCAAGGCTCACTTCCTGCAAGACATATCTGAGAAGAAGCCCCATGGACCTACCCCGATGCAGCCCTGGGTGCTGGAGCAGCCGTGTGGAGACCCCTGCCAGCGCTGAGAGCTTACACATTCACTGATTCAGCTTTCCTCCTGCAGTCGGCATCATTGCAT